ATAAAACCTCGGGGATAAAAGAGCCAATCAATCCAATGATCCCCATCTTCTGAAAAAAGAAAACACAAATTAATAATTATTAAAAATATTGACAGGCTTTTTTATAAAAATAATAAAAGGCTTATCTCTTTAAACTTTTGATGAATTCAAAATTATAATTTAGTAAAAAAAATATTACAATATTTAAAATTTCAGTAAACAATAAAATGAGAAAACTAATCAAATATTACAATAGAAAAGAATGTACAACAAGTGAGGGATAAAGATAATTTTATGATATTTACATTGTGAATTAATTAAAAAAATAAAATATAAATAAATAACACTCAAACAATTATTGATAAATTTAGACCATTGAAGAATTTTGAACTGTATAACATACATAAGTTTTAAAAAAATAAAAATATTTTCAAAGTAAGAAAACATATATCTATGTTATATTAAAAGAGAAGTAGTATAAATATAGTTAGCCAATTGACAAATTAATAAAAAGTCACATTAGTAAACGTATAGTACTTAGTACTTGCTAATTTAATAAAGAATAAATAAGGAACAAACAATTTATTTGATTACTATATGATGTGTATCCTTTGATTTTATATTGATTTTGTTATATTTTTGCATACTATATTAAATAATAAAATAACAACTAAGATTTATCAAAATAATATGATATATTATATCATAATTTTATAAAATTAATATTCTGTCAAATTATCTGCGCATCACGCAGGTTCTAACACTAATTAATTTGAAAAACACTATTATCAATATTAGAGCAGCAATTTACGCTTGACCGAAATTCCAAAAGTGATTCCGGAAAAAAATATGTTTTTCAGAACCTACTATTCTAAAAATTTAATCAAACAACTCTAACTCTCTAAAATAAGTAATTTCTTTTATAAAAAAAGCACTTTTGGCTTTCCAAAGCTTGAGCAAATATGCTATAAGTCATTCTCTAGTTTTTAATTGTCAATATATATTTTTCAAAATAAATATTTTTTCTCGAGAAAATACTTTTGTCACTTAGAGGTCGTTTGGTAGAGTGTGTTAGACAAAATAATGTATACATTAGCTTTGTGTATTAGTAATGTTTTGTTTGGTACACCTTTTCAACCTATGTATAACTAATACAAGCATTAGTTATACACTTTATTTGGTATTATCTTATGTATAGCTAATGCATAGAAAATCATGGCATTAGCAATACAAAGGCTATTAATGCATGCATTAGCATAGTTAAAGACAAAATTATCCTTAGAGTCCCTTAAGTTAAAGAATATGGAGGGCATTTTTGTAAACAATTAAATTTCTTAAAAATTATGCAATGCATTTTAATTTTTAATACACCACACCAAACAATGCATAAAAAATAATCTATGTATAACTAATGCTTGCATTACTAACTCATGCATTACTAACTCCTACATTACTAATACACCTTATTTAACATTATTTTTATATGCCCTGCCAAACGACCCCTTGGTGACAGAACTGTTTTTCTTATTACTATCTCAACTTTTGACTTCATATCACTGCTCTAATCAATATATATTCATTAGACCATTATATTGTCAATAACTAATTCATAAAATTCTTATCAAAGCTACATTTGATTTGCTAACACTGTTATCCATCATTTCTTTCTGTAAGTATTTTCTGCTCATCAATCACATAATTCTTTTTTTTAGAATTTATTTATCAAAAATAACTTATATTTTTAAACAATATATCTTTAAAATGATTTATTGCTTATCTTTTAAAATGTTTTTTTTGTTTTTTCGTCTTTTAAAATGATTTTCTTCTTTTAGAAACAAAAAATTGTACTTGTTGACCCTATTTTGTATCCGGACCCCCAAACCCAACCTCTACTACACTACTTTGGTGGAAATATAATAGAAAGCTACTTTTAAGTATTTTGTTTAAAATATATTCATAGTTTATAATATATTTAAAAATTAGTCAATTTCGCTCAAATTTCAGGACACGACGTCTTAGAGTTTAAATCTCCAAGTTCAACCTCAAAGTTCAACTTTCAGGACATCGTGTCCTAAAGTTCGAGAATTGTGTCAAGAGGTTCGAATCTTATGCCCTGGATTTTAAATTAGTAGTTCAGAAATTAAGGATACTTAGAGCTGAATTTCAAATTAGCAGCTCAAAAGTTCAAGACAGTTAGTCCTGAAATTTGGGTCTAGAAGTTCGAATCTTATGTTCTGAATTTTAAATTAATAGTTCACAGATTCAGAACACATAGTTTTGAATTTTAAATTAACAGCTCAAAAATTGAGTAAACTATATCCTAAATTTCCAAATACATGAATAAATTGGTTATGTATTGTAAATTATGGATACTTAAAAGTGGCTACACTTCGCCCGCTACTTTGTCATAAGAACCATTACACCTTGGGTCGGGTTCAGTCTGCGAAATTAGGTGCAACAATGGCAGAAGCACTCATCGAATTGAATGAACTTCTCATCTCCAGAAAGGTTTGGTTTTTTTTATGAGCCTAAAGGCCTAATGCTTCCTATTGAAATGGATACCAACTTTTTTTCTTCATAATTTATCTATTCTTTTGTTATCCTTAGTTTTCAGAAAATTTTTGTTGTAAATTTCAGTTTTATTCCAATTCTGAAAAATATATTATACTTATTTATCTATTTATTAAAATTGATAGGCTACTTTAACAACTGAAGAAAGTAAACTACTAAATTCATGGAAGCAATCTGCTGTAAGAGATTTTGGTATTGGTGCCGCTGGTGCTTCCGTTGCCACTTGGTTAGGTACAATTCCTATATAATTACTTGTAAATTTCATTATTAGATAATTCTTTTTTAACTTTAGTCAAAGTATTTGCATATATGCCTTTTATTTTCTTACCTCTGAACAGTTAAATGGGTTGAAAGCTTTAGTTTAATCCAAATTGATTTATTTGATCTGCAAATATTGGTTCAGTTATTTCAGGATAGTGTTTTTCTTTGTTCCTTTGGATTTTTGTTTCGTCTCAAGTTAGTTTTAGTGGATAATCCCCCTAATACTTTTCATCGTTCATGATTCCATTGCTAGATCCTCCATCCCGCCTACACTTAAAAAAAGAAAGAAAGGGAAGTAACATTTTTGGATTTAATGAAATAATTAGTATTTTTTTAATGGTTTGAAATAATCGGTATATTTTTCTTGTGCCATATTTTGCTACACTGCTGCTTCTTTCTTCTCGAAGGCTGTTCCATCAACTCCTGTTGAGGTCCGAAACCTTAGGATAGGGTGATGACCGGTGTCAACTTTTGCCTTATAAAGTTAACTAAACGGGAATATAGTTCGTTCTGATTGTGTTGGATTTCTAGGCTAAACTCTAGTGGTCCAATTTGTAATAAGTATGGAAAATGTTCAAATTTACTGAACTTTGCGAAATTAGTCATATATGCAATCTGTTAAATGTTTGCTTCTAAAGGGACATCTCGGTTACCCTATATGTCTTCATTTCTAGCAAAACTCCTGTTGTGCATATTTTATTATGCTGACCATTTTAAATTGCCATCTAAAGAAGATAGGTGGAGAAAGTAAAGGAAAGAAAAGTCCAAATTTACCCCTGAACTTTGCGAAAATTAGTCATCAATACTCCCTAACCACCACCACCATAGCCAGTGACCAAGAAGAGCTTCCACCACCCTAAGGAATGGTGAACTTTTTAAAAATTCTAAAGTTTTGCAAATGGACCGTGGAAGTTGGATATCCACCTCTCCCCATCCCCCTAGATTTATGAAAATTAAGTCCTGGAAATGACAGATATTATCAGCTCCATTGGAAAAAAATATCTCTAACTTGCAGTAGTCATAGAAAGGTTTGCGTGCCAATTTCAGATACCATATCATCTCAACTATGTGTATTTTCAAGTCAATTTAATAAGAAATTGTTTCAACAATGGATATGATACTACCTGTTGAGATGCACTTTCTCTCCATTTCTCTTGCTTATGTTTGGCTGTGATTTCTCCCATCAACGGTGAATAATCCAAAAAGACCCAAAACAAGAAAAAGGTTAAACCTTGTCATTGTAATGTGATTGTAGAGCCTTCATATGGGTTGTGTTCAAACCTTAGAGGTTAGAAGATAAACATTTTCATATTTTCCCAGAAAATGAGGTCTTGTTGGCGGAAAATTGAGGAAGAGAGAAGACGATGGTCAGGATTGAAGGGTGACTTGAGAGAGGTTGCAGTAGTAGTTTTAGTGGCGAAAGATAGGTGGAGGATGGCGTCAATACTGGTTGCTTGGAGGAAATGTGTGTGGGGTCCAACCCATTACATATTGAAAGAAAGAAGTTTAGCATTTGGTAAGAATTTCAAAGGTTTACAGCAACCATAGATTTGGCCAACCACCCAATAGATCAGTTCACATTGCAATTTTTGAAATTCTATCTTTTGCTTATATCACTAATGATATCGGAAGGGTATTTTACTTTACTTCTATAAATAGAAAATTCCATTTGTAATACACCAATTCATAAAAAGCACATTCTGAAGAAAAAAATTTAGAGTTTTGAATGGCTTTGTAGTGAGGATATTTCTTGAGTGTATAGCCTCGAGGATTTTTGGAACCCACAAAATATTCACAGTCAAATAACGAGAATAAAATAAAGAAATAAAGAAATCGGGAATAAAAATGTAAAAAACCCATTTAAACTAAAGGAAAAACCTGACTTAAAGGAGCAAAAACAATATTGCTATAGTGAGACAAATACACTTCACACTCGAGTTTCACAAAAGTCCTCGAGGCTATACAAAGAAATATCCTCTTGAAATTAGGGTTGTGCATAATATGGTAAATACCGAATTTCCGTACCGAAACCGAAAATTTTGGTACTTGGTATTCAGTATTTGGGTATTTGGTTTATATTTTTAAAATTTTTGGTATTAGGTATGCTATTTGGTATTTAAAAAAATAATATCGAAATACCGATACTATACCGAAATATATACTAAATTACGCAATACATATATTATTGATTATATCATACTATAAGTTACACAATAGTTTCCTTTTGCATTCATGTTGAGGTCGGTGGTACATAACGTTTCTACGATTTTAGGGTATTTCTTACTTTATTACTCGTGTATTGTTGTAGCATTTGTATTACTTTATTGCATAACTCTAAGTTCAACAATTAACTCTAACTAAGTAGCAAGACATTTTCAACGATCATATTTATTCCTTTATGTACCTTCTTTCTCTCAGTTTATACTTGTTGATTTTGAATAAAGATTTATTCAACAGTCAGGTGAGCTAGACCGTTTTTATATTTGTATTTATAAGTACTTTAATTAAGAATATTAAAGTTAGCATTTAAGCCTAATAAACCGAAGTTACCGAACCGAATAAACCGAAACCAAAAGGAGAAAAGCCAAACCATACCGAATTTAATTAGGTATGGTATTGGTATAGCATTTTAAGAAACCGAATACCGAAAATACCAAACCGAAATATCTAAATACCGTACCGACCGATGAACACCCCTACTTGAAATGACCTTACTAAAAAGCTGCTCAAAACTCTTAATGTTTTGCTTCACAAATGTGCTTCATTCTATGAATTTGTGTACTATCAAATGAAGGGAAGCGTCCTATTTCTAGGAGTAAAATAACCTACTGATGTCATCAATGACATAAGCGAACAATAGAAATTTCAAAGGTTGCAATGTGAATAGATCTATTCACCATTTTGCCAAATCTATATTTTTTGCAAACCTTTGAAAATTTTGCCAAATGATAAACTTCTTCCTTTCAATAGGGTTGGGCCCCACAAATCTCCTCCTCTAGTCCCATGCACCTGAACGAGTGCATTACAAATTGTAAGGAAAAGCTTATCATTGGGTGTATAGTCTCGAGGACTTTGTGATGCTCGAGTGCAAAATGTATTTGTCTCGCTATAGTGATATTGTTTTTGCTCCTCTGGGACCGTGATTTTTCCCTTTTTTTAAAAGAGTTCTCTATGTTTTTATTTTCGGTGCCGTAATTTCTCTATTTTATTTCCGTTACTTGATTGTGAATATTTCAGTGGGTATTCTTCCAATGGGTTCATTTGATGATAATTTATTTGGAAGAATGGGGGTTTTCCAACATTGTCCAAATTTACACCATGTCAGCTGACTGATTATAAAAATAGGGGCATGGATGGCTAATTCCGCAAAGTGTGGAGCAAATTTGAAGTTTTTTCATCTTTTTTCCACATGTCTCACTTATGTGGACATTTTAAATTGTGAGCACAGATAGTATGCCGCTGGAGTTCCATTAGAAATGAAGGGCGTATATGATACGTTTGAGTAAGAATGTAGTTCCTTTTTAAGCAACTTTTAATGGAAGGTTGGATGACTAATTTCGCGAAGTTTAGGAATATATGCTTCTCAGAAAAGCAATTTCTTTTCTTCTTTTTCTCTTTTCACTTCTCTGCTGTATTGCTTTAGCTCTGTGATTATCTTTCCTCCCTATATTTTGTTGTTCATTAAAGCACCTAATACTATTATTTCAATTTGTGTTTGTTGTAGTTACTCGAAGGCTGCATAACCTACTCCGCATCAACCTTGCAGTAGGTAAATCAAAACTCACCCTCATCCTCAACCTTATTCTAGTGGACAGGGAGTTATCTTTCTCGTGTTCTTCTCTTTTTCTCTTACATATCGGGCACCAACAACTATCTATCTGTATGGTGTCTGTTTTTGTAAAATCTGAAATGCCGAGTAAGCAGTTGATGCCTGTCAAGTGCTCAATTCAATTACATATTTAGCTTTTCTTAAAAAAAGTTGTATGTAATGCAAGAAGTAAAAGCTAAAAGAAGAATTCAACTTCAAGTCGCTTAGTTGTGGTCCTTCTTATTTTTATTTATTAATTAATTAATCATTTGTTGTTACTTCTTGGTGGAAATCTCCTCTTCTCACATGATCGTGCTGTTTTATTACAAATATTAATTTAATCATGCAGTAGATTGTATAGGCAGTGCCAATGGTTGGACTAGCCAGATTCATTTTTTTAATAGTTGTTAAGCTTTTTGATTGTGGTTGCAATGCTCTGTATTTTTACGTGTCAAGAGGTAACCTATCAGCCTTTACATGAATAAAGAAAAATAAACTGACATGCCTATTTCATGTTTACTTGCAAAGGGCTTTTGCAACTTTGGAGACTTATAAACTCACTGTCGCACTACTACCAATCTTTGTATGTAGGACACTTAGTTCAAACTGCTGATTTAGGGCTCAAGTTTCTAAAAGAGCTATTGATTTCTACTCCAAAACAGAGATTCATTTAGGGTTGGTTTTCTGAAGTGTATTACTTAGTTTTTCAAACTTTCTATCTCCAGGTGCTGGTTGGTTCTATGGCAAGTGGAGATTTGCCAAATCTTTGGATTCAGGTGTTGAACTTATTCTCTCTCAGCATGGAACTCGTCTGCAAAAGGAGTTGGGGGAAATGTAGGTCCTCAAAAACACTTCTTAAACTTTTATATTTTTGGGCTAAATAATGAGGTGACTTGTACCCCTAAAGATGAAGTGTGACACAGTCAAATATATGCATGACTTAGTATGATGAAACTTAACCTTGAGCACTTGGATAATCACACCAACTCTAGTTATCAAAAAACAGTCGCACTTGCTCTACTTAAGTTGAAGTTCCAACTTTCTTTTCGGGTTTTCTGAAAAAGGTGGTCTCTTTCATTCCAAAAAAGGTGGTCTCTTTCATTCATAAAAAGAGATCAGGAACTTTTAACTCAAATTTAAGCAATGTGCTCTGAATGGCATCTTAAATACTTTTCAATATCTTATTCTCAGAAAATAACAAAAGGCCCATGCCTGTAGAAAGGAAAAAGTTCAATTTATTCAGAGAGTTCAACTGCTACCTCAATAGCTTTTACAAGTCTATGTAGGTAGGATATGTAAAATTGGGTTGTTAGGGGGGGTGGAGGGGTGATTAGTAAGATTTGCAAGATTATTACTTGCCTGAATTTAACTGTTCACAATTGTTAACGTGAAAGATGTTTAGCAAAGGAGGCAGGTTATATGGGTTTCGAAAAATTATTTAAATCAAAGATATCTGAATTAATTAGATGTCGTAAGATGTGCATTACGACATCTTTGCATCGAGGTTTCCCTGAAATAATTTTAATTAAAAAAGATGTGCATATTAATATGGGTTACCTGAAAAGTTGAAGCTTACCAACCCTGTAAAAATATAAAGAACTATAAGGAGGAAAATAGAATATATCTAATCACGTAAAGTGTAGGATCAATAATACTATCTGGTTTATTATTAGTTATGTATCAGTTTGTGGAGGTCAAGTTTTCATCTTTTAAGCTTGATCAGTTGGCCTGATCGTACTAACAGGTTATACTTGTCACCATTAGTGTTAGAGTGAGGTACCATGTGAAAATGTCGGAACTAATTAATGTAAATAATATCCTTGGTGACAGCTACCTCTCTTACCCAAGGAAGCAAAATCAGGAATTTCAAATTGCTTTATAGTTCTGGATATTTGAATGAGAAAGGTGCTAAACCTTTGACAAAGACAGAATATGAAATGTTGTTCCCATCTGATAAATAATTGTATACTCGAGATTTATATCCTTGAGGAGCCTTAGTACTTGACAACTTGGGGCATTGGTACATCTTTATCTCTCTAGGCTATTTGTCTGGATCCAACTTGCGGTAGGGACACGTTGACTGGTTAGTTATGCTACGTTTGTATTCTCTCTATTTTCTTCTTCTTTTGCTACTTTCTTTGGCTTCAGTTCAGGATAAGAATGATTGAGAAATGTGTAAGTTGTGCTGGATGTACCTTAGATAGAAAGAACTTGTCCTCACTGCGAGCGTCGAACTTTAAAATTTGCCATAATCTAGAGTATGACCAGAGTTTCTTAACTTCAATTATTTATTTATTTATTTATTTATTTATGTATGTATGCACGTATGTATGCACGCACGCACGCACGTGCGCGCGCGCGCGCACGCACCCACCCACCCAGTATAGAAATATGTGCTCACTCGTTGTGGAAATACATAATAGTGTGCATGGAAATACATAATATTAGGAAATATACTGAGCATCAGTATATCTCATTCATATTTTAAATTAAAAGGACTGCTAGATGAATAGACTGTTAGAACATTGTTCAAATAATAAAATATTTTTAAAGAATATAAGGTGTCTTTAAATTGAGAGGATGTATCCTATTCATTATTTTGTAACTACTAAGTAATATATAACTACAAATGGTCTTGTTTTTGAATTGAAACTTCCTTTATTCCAGCGTTACTTTTGGCGTAGCAGAAAACGTCTTCAATATATATATGTGTACGTACGCACGCACACACACACACACACACACACACACACACACACATATATATATATATATATATATATGTATCATCTATTTCCACCAAGTATAGAAATATGTGCTCACTCGTTGTGGAAATACATAATAGTGTGCATGGAAATACATAATATTAGGAAATATACTGAGCATCAGTATATCTCATTCATATTTTAAATTAAAAGGACTGCTAGATGAATAGACTGTTAGAACATTGTTCAAATAATAAAATATTTTTAAAGAATATAAGGTGTCTTTAAATTGAGAGGATGTATCCTATTCATTATTTTGTAACTACTAAGTAATATATAACTACAAATGGTCTTGTTTTTGAATTGAAACTTCCTTTATTCCAGCGTTACTTTTGGCGTAGCAGAAAACGTCTTCAATATATATATGTGTACGTACGCACGCACACACACACACACACACACACACACACACACACATATATATATATATATATATATATATATATCATCTATTTCCACCAAGTATAGAAATATGTGCTCACTCGTTGTGGAAATACATAATAGTGTGCATGGAAATACATAATATTAGGAAATATACTGAGCATCAGTATATCTCATTCATATTTTAAATTAAAAGGACTGCTAGATGAATAGACTGTTAGAACATTGTTCAAATAATAAAATATTTTTAAAGAATATAAGGTGTCTTTAAATTGAGAGGATGTATCCTATTCATTATTTTGTAACTACTAAGTAATATATAACTACAAATGGTCTTGTTTTTGAATTGAAACTTCCTTTATTCCAGCGTTACTTTTGGCGTTGCAGAAAACGTCTTCAATTTTTACCATTCCTCACGTTTTCATTCTTGTCCAAAAGATCAAGTTGAGAGTTCTTGTTTTCTTATTAGAATTTTTCAGCCTTTTGCTTAGTATAGAAATTTAAAAGCTTCTCATATCCACTAGAGCTAATTGCTTTTATCCCGTAGCAATCTCGGGAAGGAGAGGGAGCAAATATCGCTTTTAGGAAAGCGTTTCGAACGTTTTTCAAGGCTTTATGTTGTTTTGTGTTCTTCTTCATATATTTCTCCAACAATCTAAAACCGATATTTATTATGAAAATATTCACTATTATGGTGAATTAAGAAGTTTAGTAAATGGATCACCCAAATTGCTAAACTTCTTAATTCTCCATAACATTGAATGTCTTCAAGTGCTTGAGCAAACCAATGTGTTAAAGTGGCTGGATAATATCATGTTCAGTTTAGGCACAAGTGAGTTATGGCTCTAATCTTAGTAATTCCAATAACTTTGTCTAAATTTTAAAATATTTACACTAGTGGGAAGTTCTAATCTACTAGATACTTCCTATTATGCGTGATATTAGGAGTAATATTACAGACTAGTGGGGAATTGTTGTATAGTTATAATATTGATGTGAAAAATGATAAGGAGACTTCAAGAAAAAATCACTCGGGACATGGGACTATTGAAGAATCTGCAAATGGCGTTGCAGAGCCAAATTTCAGCTATGCATAGTCCAACTAATATTGGCAAATCAGCCAATGCCACTGTAGAGCCAATGTCTGGCTATTCATAGGCATAAACTGCCTAAGATACGAAATGAAGTTTTAGTGCTTCAAATTCTCTTTTGTCTCTGCTATTAGATTTAGCAGGGACTTGAAAATTAAGAAGAATCCTTATACTTTTATCATTATTATGATTATTTACAGCAACAAACAACAAAGAGTGGTATTATTATGATTATTTCAAAAGTTAAATTCCAAAGGACATGACTATTTAGAAATAGTGGTATAATAGTTGCAGGAATTAACTACCAACACTCCATTTAAGAGTGTTGTTTCACTTCAAATCAACAACGTTTCTAGACAATTCGTAATAGGCTTGTTATATTCCAGAAGAGCATTGTTTGCTATTCCGGAAAGTGATGCAATCACTCTTTCGAATTCTCCATAACAGGAAATATTTTCTTCACAGTAAAATATCGCTTTTAGATTGTTGGAAAAGTATATGAAGAATAATCCATAATAAGGTAAGGCTTAAATACATCTGAAACACTTTCCTAAAAGCGATAATTTTCTCCTCTTCTTCCCAAGATTGCCATGGGATTAGTGCAGATAGCTTTAGTGGATATGACAAGCCTTTGAATTTCTATGCTAAGAAAATTGTGGAGAAATTCTATTAGGAAAACAAGAACTTTCAACTTGATCTTTTTAAAAAGAAAGAAAATGTGAAGAATGGTTAGTTTTTTATTCAAGAAACAAGGCTACTTGTAGTTGTATACTACTTGGTGATACAAAATAATGAAAGGGTACATTCTTTCAATTAAAAGACACCTTATACTCTTTTAATACTTTATTATTTGAACAAATTTCTAACATAAACTATTCAAAAGGAGTGCAAGATTATAAAGCCATTTTTTGGATGGTCCTGTGTTTTAGCACTTCATGTTTGAAGCCTAGTCTTCTATTTATGCTAGGTCTGCATGCTTAAATCTGGTTAAAGACTCATATCTGTTCCCTTTTTATCAAGTACCTTTGTATTCTGATAGATACAGTCCTCGCTATTTTGGCCAAGTTATGTACTAGCAGGGTCAAATGACTTGTGTGTGTAGAAATGATAACAGCTCCAAAGCTTAAGCGAGTAGAAGAGAGCAAGATTCTAACAAGTAAAAAATTGTTTGAATTCGAAAAATGTTTTGAATCTGGAATGTTTTTAAAGCTGGAACGGCTGGATGAAGAAGGAAAAATGGTTTGAAGATGACCGGAGAAAATGGGTTTGAATCTGGAAAATAAGGGTTAGTAAAAAGAGAGAGAGAACAACAACAACAACCCAGTTAAATCCCACTAGTGGGGTCTGGGGAGGGTAGAGTGTACGCAGACCTTACCCCTACCCCGGAGGGATAGAGAGGTTGTTTCTGGGAGACCCTCGGCTCAAAGACGAAAAAAGAGAGAGAGAACAACAACAACAACCCAGTTAAATCCCACTAGTGGGGTCTGGGGAGGGTAGAGTGTACGCAGACCTTACCCCTACCCCGGAGGGATAGAGAGGTTGTTTCTGGGAGACCCTCGGCTCAAAGACGAAAAAAGAGAGAGAGAGAATGGCCGGAAAAACATTTTCCTGCCAAACTTCAAAATTTTATGGTAAAACCATTATTGTATGCCCTCAATTTTGGGTGCAAGACACGCGTTGTGCCATTTCACCACCTAGTGCCTAATGGGTACATTTTGAATGGGCTTGAGTGCTCAATAGGCCACGAGCTCACTTTAGGTGTTCAGATAATAAATTTTGACAACTTCAACTGTCTGTCAATGTATTCGGCCAAAAGAAAATGATTCATTTTCAGGACATATTCCTTAGAAGTGGAAAGATTTTAATAAACTTTTCTTGAAATAAATCTTTGATACTCGTGGAATTTTATGAATCTCGTCATCTTGCTTCTATATTTGAATAGTATCATGGTAATTTCTTTTTCTTTTCATCCCGTGTATGAACTAGTGATGTAGTATTCTAAAAAGATAGAAGTTGAGGTTTCAGTTTGATCCATTTTAACTATTTACTGATGTAGTATTTTCTCATGATAGAATGTTGAGGAAGTACCAGCGTAATCCGCCTGTATTACAGCATGTCTCCAAATACTTTTACTCTGAAAATGTTTATGATGATGATTCAACAGACCAGCCAAAACCAAGATGGCGTTTTCGGAGTACCTATGGGGAAATTTTTTCTTCTCACAGGATGGATGGTGATGACTCTTCCAGTAAGAAAACCCATTTGAAGAATACTGATCCGAGGATCACTAATCTTGAGAGAAAGCAAGTTAATGTGAGTACTCCTTTGCTGCCCTTTTATATAACATTGAAGAAGATTAAAGGATATTTGGGGCCAGGAGGTTTTTCTGTTTGTGCAAGGACATAGTAGGAACGGGGACAAGATAACCAAATTTATGCACATGATCGTAGAATTAATGACAAGTATCAAATGGTGATTATCCTATCTTTATACAAACTGCCCTCTCCGGCAGAGTTGGCGAGTAAATTGGGGGCTCTCTGTGTAAATGAGCATAAAAAATCCTTGCTTCCTTTGTCTATAAAAAAACAAATCATTTGTCTTCATTATAGTAGAATCATTTTGAGTTACTTTTACCAGGCTTTGTATTGAAAATTGTAGATAAATGGTGCTGCTCCTCCTCTAGAGTCAACTGAAGACCCATTTGATTGCATACTCGGACATCAAGTGAGTGCCGAAGAGAGTCATTGCCCTGATGCACCTAGCACGCTTCCTAGGAGGCATAATCATAGCCACAGACGGTCTCAAGGCAGGCGTCGGAGACATCACCATGAGAAAATGGAAGGTTGAGCTTTTTAGTTGGCCGACCTTGGCAAATTCAATGAAACTGATCTGTTACTGGGATCAGTCTTGCATGCACCTGTTAAATGTAATCTCTAGCAAATCTCTACATGAAACTGACATTACCTTAAAGCTGGTTGTATAAAATTATGGCCTGTTGTTGTTTTGTTTTTTTATTTTATCATAAACCTATTTAATAGAAAAAGGTTTATGGATTAACTCAAGGTAAACTAGCATAATTTAATATAGGATGAAATGTAATAAAGGCAGGATTGAGTTACTCAATTTGGCAGCATTTTAAGTCGAGTCTTCTATATTCTATTTTCTCCTTGTGATTTCTCTTTTCATAGTTTCTTTTGCTTTTACAGTTTCTTTATTATCCTATATCTGAAAATGCTCCAGAAATCTACCTTTTGATCTTCTGCAAAATGTGGGAGGATACGTATAAAAACCCCTTAAATCAACCAAAAATGTGAGTTATAGTATTTTTACTTTAATCTTAGATATGGACATTTCCTTTTTTTAAAAGAAAAAATGTAGTCCGGATTCGTACAAAAAAATTACCAGAAGCATTGATCTCCATTAGCGCTGCAAATCATTTAAAGTAAAAGATGTTCCTATAGTTTTTTCTTTATCAAACACACATAATGAAATTCATTTTTTAGAGGTTATTGTAATGTGGATTATATATAGCAACTAAAATATTTTAAGGGTCCGAATTAACAACCTTAAATCGAGCTGAAGATGCAATGTGTAGGGAAATGGTGTACACCTAATCAAAACCATTAAACCAATCATGAAATGCATTTGGGAGCTATAGTCAGCATTTGAGATTTGATTGTTAAAAAAGGCGAATAATCTTAAATTAGCAATGCTTTTTCTGAAAAGTAAAAACACACGCTTGAGCTGAAGAAATAAAAATTAGTTGTGTATATCATTAATGAAGTTTGTGGATCGCACAAGTATAGCAGTAAAAATAGAGGATAAAAACATTTTGGCATAAGTTTTTGAGTCACGATATGATATATAAATTACAAAGTATTTTTTGAGGTGTGACTCTGTATCCAGCTTATATTGTTCCAATCTTTCAATTATGAACCAATTGAACTTTGGCATGGTATTTAATTTACTAACTTAAAACATAGAGGTGCTGAGTGGAAGGGGGATTTGCAGCCGTACCCTATATTTGTGTCACATTTTAACCTGTACCCTATTTTTAAAAATTATTAATTTGGTAGCCAGTTGACAAAAAATCCGTAATAATATGACAATTACATCCTTGATAGTATTAGCATTAGCATGCTACTTTGGAGATGACCTCATTCGCATTAGCATACTGTAAAACAAGTCCTGATAAACGTAGCAGCATGCTAACGTTTGGAGATGACGTTTTATCCAAAACTTCAGTCTAAACATGCTGAAGTTATTTAGTTCATTTGCTAAAATTTCAGACTAAATATGCTGAAGTTATTTAGTTCATTTGCTAAAATTTCAGTTTAAACATGCTGAAGTTATTTAGTTCATTTGCGAAAATTTCATACTAAACATGCTTAAGTTTTTGTCTTGCAATATGTAATTTTCTAATGAGTTTTTGCTAATGCATGTTGAAGTTATTTAGTTCATTTGCTAAAACTTCAGACTAAACATGCTTAATTTATTTAGTTCATTTGCTAAAATTTCAGACTAAACATGCTGAAGTTATTTAGTTCATTTGCGAAAACTTCAGACTAAACATGCTTAAGTTATTTAATTCATTTACTAAAACTTTAGACTTATCATGCTTAAGTTATTTAGTTCATTTGCTAAAATTTCAGACTAAACATGCTTAAGTTATTTAGTTCATTTGCTAAAATTTTATGCCAAAATATGCTGAATTGTTGTCCTGCAGTCTACAGTTTTGTCAATAGTCCTGCAGGGCAAAATCGTCTTTTTAAAATACTTTAAAAAAAAATGGGTACAAATGCAAACAAAAAATAAAATGAGTATAAGTTAAAAGGGAGCGACCAAATAGGACGCCTATGCAATTTTTACGAGATGAAGAGGTTTCAGGATAAATTTCTCGTGAGGTGCGAGTTTGTGTCAAATTGATACGTTGGTATTCTCCTACTAGTTTGCGATAAAGGACATCAATTTAGTGGGCATAAGAATTGTAAAATTTCAAAAAAAGTAAAAAAAAGAAATTCAAATGAAAATGTTATTTGAAAATTTCGAAAAATAGTTTTTTAGAGTTTTTAAAATTTTTAAAAATTTTTAAAATTCATTTTCAAGTGAAAATTGAAAATTTTATGGCCAAACACTGATTTCGAAAAAAAATAAAAAAATTCTTATGTCCAAACGGACTCTTAATTTTTCATGTAAATATTAGGAGTATATATCTTCCACTACTTGATAGCAAAAATAAAAATGCAGTGTTTCAGTTGTTTATTTTTTATTTTCAACAGATCAATTAGGATTTAATTTTTGTTATAACAAGTTAGCAAAATTCCCTCTCCGCAAAACTTTGACCCCCACAAAACCATTACAAGAAAAATAAGAGACTCCTACTTCCTTTGCGTCTTTGTCTCCCTCTCTTATCCTTCATTTTCATTTACTTTTCATGCAATCCTCTTTTTCGTCTTCCTCTTCCTCCTTCTGGTTTTTCCTCTCGAAATCCCGATACCTACTTGCAGAGGCAATATGTAATTGAATATATATTACTATATATACATAGGTATATACCCCCTTTATATATTCAATTACATCTGCATTTTTATCTTTTTTTCATTTCCAAGAATCTCTCTTTTTAGTTACCCAAAAACTTTCCATATAGCATACACAATTACGTTTGATCATTTATTGTTTTCTCAATATTTTGTTCATTGTTAATTTACATGAATCTAGTTTTACACAGACTCAAAGATAGTGAATTTAATCAAGATTTGGATACTTTTGGTATTATTGGGCCTTTGCTTTTCAGCCAAGCAGATCCATAGCATGAGGGTCCATCCTATGTCCATGAAACGAAACATTGCTATTCGTGAAGGTATTTATCCGGGTTCAACTTCGGGTTCGGATCAGCGGGAACAACTTTTGGCGGTAATGGAAGGAAACCCGACGAAGAAGCTACGGAAACTGCCGCACGTTTTTGGGAAGGTTCTAGAACTTCCGTTCCGTTCCGATGCTGACGTGGCGGTGGAGGAAGGGCCGGAATTCTTCCGTTTCGTGGCGGAGATGGAATTTGACGATGGCGGAGAGGGTGGAGGCGCAGGAGCGGGAGGCGGCGTGAGAGTGCAGGCGGTGGAGATTCATCCTGGGATTACGAAGATCGTGGTGAGAAATGGTGCGGGAGATGGAGGTGTCGGCGCCGTCCCCGGCAGCGAAGACGAGCTGCTGTTGGAAGAGCTGAAGGTGGACACGTGGAGGTTCAGGTTGCCAGCGACGACAAAACCGGAGCTGGCCACGGCGGTGTTCGTGGATGGTGAGTTGATTGTTACGGTGCCAAAGGGTGATCGTGGCGGTGAAGATTTCACCGACGGTAGGAATGTTTGGGGTGGCGGTGGCCGGCTTGTTCTTGTACAGTAAGAAAAAATAAAAGAAAAAGAGATATTAATATTTTATTTAAAAAGATTTTTATTCTTCAAAAATAATACTAATAATAATTGTTGTACATTATGGTGGACTCTGGCAACTTTATTCTCCATGTATGAATACTACTAATACTCTCCCTTTTTCTTGCAATATTATTTTTTTATTATTTTATTACATGTTATCAGCACGAGACTCTACGTCTCAAGAAACTCTTTGAGAAAACTAAGCAAATATGGATATCTCTCAAATCAAACTTGGATCAAAGTTTAATTATAAAAATATTTGTTTAATTGATTCATGTACGACACATACAATATTCAAAGAGAAGAAATATTTCTCTCGTTTAAGTATGTGTAAGGCAGATGTTACTACAATTTCTGGTAATAGTAATCTAATCAAAGGCTCTCGAAGAGCCACTATAACTCTGCCTAGGGGAACAATATTTATCATAGATAATGCAATATTCTCCTCCAAGTCCAAGAGGAACTTGTTGAGTTTTAAAGATATCCGCCGAAATGGATATCATATTGAGACAGTAGATAAGAATAATCCTGAATATCTCATCGTTACCAAAAATATCTCTTGTCAGAAAAGGGTTATTGAGAAGTTCTCATCTTTATCTTGTGGCATGTGTTGGACAAAAATTAATGCAATTGAGGCGCATTCTACCGTAAACCAAAAGGTTACTGATTCCAATATTTTTGTACTTTGGCATGATCAATTGGGACATCTTGGATCAATTATAATGAGACAGATTATAGAAAACTCAAATGGGCATCCATTAAAGAATTTAAAGATTCTTTTAAATAATGAATTTTCCTACACTTCTTGTTATCAAGGCAAGTTAAATATTAGACTATCACCAACAAAGGTTGGGTTTGAGTCCCTTGCGTTTTTGGAATGTAAACAAGGGGACATTTGTAGACCTATTCACCCATCTAGTGGGTCGTTTAGATATTTTATGGTCTTAATAGATGCATTTTTTAGATGGTCTCATGTGTGCCTATTGTCATCTCGCAACCTGGCGTTTGCAAAATTAATAGCACAAATAATCCAATTACGGGCACAATTTCTCGATAATCCAATTAAGTCTATTAGACTTGATAATGCTGCTAAGTTTTCATCCCAAGCATATAATGATTATTGCTTATCAATTGGTATAAAAGTGGAACATCTTGTATCTCATGTTCACACTCAAAATGGCATTGCAGAGTCTTTAATTAAACGTCCACAATTGATAGCAAGACCGTTACTCATGAAAACGAGGTTGCCCACTTCTGTTTGGGATCACACCATTTTGCATGCAGCAATGCTAGTTCATCTCACACCGACAAACTATCATAAATATTTCCCGTTGTACTTAGTTTTGGGTCATGAACCAAATATATCCCATTTAAGAATTTTTGGATGCGCAGTATATGTGCCTGTAGCACCGCCATATCGCACTAAAATGAGTCCCCAAAGAAGGTTAGGAATATATGTTGGGTTTGAATCGCCCTCTATTATTCGCTACCTCGAAACATTAACGGGGGATTTATTTACTGTTCGATTTGCAGACTGTCGATTCGATGAGACATTTTCCCCAAAATTAGGAGGGAGAAATTTGTGAAACCAAACGAAAAATTTTGTGAAAAAAATCCATCATTGTCTCATCTTGATCCACGTACCTCCATTTATGAAAAAGATATGCAAAAGATCATTCACTTGCAGAAAATAGCAAATCAAATGCCATACGCATTTATCTGAAAAAGGATAACAAAATCACATATCTCTGCAGAGAATATTCTAATTCGTATTAATGTTCCTGTTGGACAATCTTCTAGTGTCATAGCTAATGAGTCAAAAGGACACCTAAAGCGTTGCAGACCATTGGGTTCTAAGGATCGAAATCCTAGAAAAAGAAAAAAAAAATGATCAAGATGACACTATGAAAGAGTCTCATGAAAAAATTCACGATTTAACCAATCATGAGATTCATGATGAAATCATTGAGCATGAGACTCAAGAAAATAAGGAACTATTAATAAATTCAATCGATATTGAGACAAATTTGAATTGATTGGATATAGTGATGGATTATGTCTTTGCTGTAAGACCCCGTAAAATATTTTCCTAAAAAACTAGATTCCGTGATGCCAAAGTAGGTGTAGAGGGTTCGGATTTTTTGTATTAAACAGTGCGCTGGGAGTTGAAGGAAAATTTTGGGCTGAAGTACGCATTTCTGCGGCCCATTCTGCGACCGCAGAACCACTATGCGAACCGCAAATTGGTCGCAGAGTGGGGTAGAGTTCTGGGGCATTTTTGATGTCCAATTTTACGGCCATTATGCGACCGCATAAACGTTTCACGGGCCGCATTCTTGCCGTATTTTCCACCTTGGGATTTTTCAGAGGGATGTTCTGCGGTGCACTATGCGACCGCAGAACCATTTTGCGGTGTATTATGTCACCGCAAAATAGGTCTGCGGGCCACATAGTGACCGCAGACCAGGCCAGTTTCTTTTCAGTTCTAGCCCCATTTTTTCGGTCATTTCATGGACCGCATAACCAGTATGCGGTCGCATATGCGACCGTAGAACCTGTTCCGGAACTTCAATTTTGGGATTTTTAAACCCTATCCTATTTCGTTAAAACACATCTCATGGACCATTTTGACCATATTTTATAATATTTTTAGAGTGAGAGAGAGGGTCCTAGAGGGAGAAGTGATCTTCATCACATTGCTCTTCAATTATCACCTAAAATCTTGAAGATTATCAAGAGAGACACCTAGGTCTTCTTCCTAAGAGGTAAGACTCTATCACCCAAACTCTTAATTTCAAAATGTAACTAGAATAGGCCATTAGTAAGGTAATTCATGGGGATGAGAGTACTTACCTTGCACACATCTATCCTTGTAGTATGTGGAAAGATTGTGAGCTAAAAATTATAGAGAATGGGTTGGGGAATGATGGAATCTTTCACAAAAAAAGGGCCTTAAAATATTGATGCACACCTAGTGTTTGATAATATGCTCAAATGAGCTAGAATCATGACCATCTTCCTTATTTTGGTCCAACTTGTTATATTTCTAAAATAGATTGAAATTTTTAAGAATTCCGGATCATTTTAGAGTTTGAGAAACTCAATTGAGGTATGTTGGCTAAACCCTCTTCTTCTTAGAATCGAACCCCACAGTGTTCATATAATTGGAGTAAGCCCTTGATCATTATAAAATTGGCGATTTCTAATGTGTTTGAGTAAGCCCTTGATCATTATAAAATTGGCGATTTCTAATGTGTTTGTGTTGGAGAATGTAGGTCTAATCCTTATTCTAAATGCTTCATCATGATATCACGTTATTTGAGGATGCGTTCAAAATATAGAATATGTGCTAGCAATGTTAAGACTTCATGTCAAGATTAAAATAATGGTTGTTATGCCAAATTGTATGAAAATCCTCTATGTGCCTAAGATTTCCTAAATTGCTCATATGTGAATTTAACGTCTTGAATGGGAAGCCTTATTGTTGTTGATAATAATAATGTTGGGATGTGGAAAAGAACTTGAATTATGAAATACGACCTAGCGCCAAGAATAACTTTATAACTGGGGCCACTCGTGCCATTATATTGAAACTTGAAAGTATGGGAAAGAAACATGAATTGAGATGACTGACTGAATATGGGTGATGTCTCAAATGAGATGGCCTAGCTGATCAGGCCGAGATCGAACTCCGTGTAAGAACACGGTGGTATTGTGTGCAAAATTATGAATATGGTTGATGTCTCAAATGAGATGGCCTAGTCGATCGGGCAGAGATCGGACTCTGTGTAAGAACACGGTGGTATTGTGGATGAAATTCTGAAAATGGTTGATGTCTCAAATGAGATGGTCTAGCCGATCGGGCCATGATCGGACGCCATGCCGCACACATGGTGGCACTGTGCTAGAAATTATAATGAAATTGTGGTAATATCTCAAATGAGATAGCCCAGCCGATCGGGCCGATATCGGACTCCGTGTAAGAATACAGAGGTATTTTGAATTGTGAAATATCGGTACTAAAGACCACCCAACCTAATACTATGGAAATTGACTTGAAAACATATATGATCCTTAACTCGTTGTTTTAATATTATTTGAAGCCCTTATTGAATTCTTGACTGTTCCTCTTGTATTATTATTATTCATTCTATTGAGTTGGTGTTTAGCTTTTCATACTAGTGCTATTCGACGATACTAATGTTCCTTTTGCCGGGGGCGCTGCATCTTTAAATGGATGCAGGTGATTACATAGCAGACAGTGTTGATCACAGATAGCGCTGCATCCTCTTCTCATCGGATTCGGTGAGCCCTATTTCATTCCGGGGTCTTGTATTGTACCTTTGTTCATATTGTGGTCACTTTTGAGGTATAGTTGGGGCCTTGTTGCCGGCACCATCTTTACTCTCTTTTGTATCTTTAGAGGCTTCGTAGACACTATGTGAGTTGTATATGGGTGTTGAGAATGTTAAATAAGTATATATTGTGTTTGATCACTTGTTCCTCTCAGACTATGAGAATCGATGTATTTTGACATTTAAAGGCGAAATAGCTAATGAGACAGATTAATGTTGTATGTATGAACGTCCTTCTATCTAATTAATGGAATCACGCCTTTTCTTGATCATGGGTTAATTGGGTAGATAGTATCAAACAGGCTTGCTCGGCCGAGTTCACTCGGTTGAGCGCTGGTCGCGCTTTTCGAGGTTAGGGCGTGACATTTGCATACAATGTTGCATCTAGCATTATGCAAGATAGTGAGGATCTTGAACCTCAATCTGTTGGAGAATGTCTACAAAGATGTGATTGGCCAAAATAGCAAGAAGCAATCCAATCCGAGTTGGATTCACTTGCGAAACGTGAAGTTTTTGGGCCTGTAGTCCAAACACCTAATGGTGTCAAGCCTGTTGGTTATAGATGGGTCTTTGTACGTAAAAGGAATGAGAAATATGAGGTACAAAGATACAAGGCACACCTTATTGCACAAGGATTTTCACAAAGGCCTGGCGTCGATTATGAAGAAACGTATTCTCCTGTTATGGATGCTATAACGTTCCGTTATCTCATTAGTTTTGATGTTCATGAAAAGCTTGACGTGC